TTTTTTTTTTTTTTTTTTTTTTTTTTTTCAAGTCAAGAGCTAACAGCTTTGTGGAAAAGGAGATGCTAGAACACTACGGGAGAAATAAGCAACTTGTATTTTAACAGAAAAGAAAACCCCTCACCAACCCAGAAACTGGAAAACATTAAAAGCAACAAAAGCTATTCAACAGGAGCAGCTTTTCTGTGAAAATTAGGCCATGTTATTTACATGCCTAAATATGGATTTAGGAGTGTAACCTTGGAAACCCCTTTTTTGAAAATGACAGCCAATTTAGTATGACACAGATTAAATTTAGCACAAAGGGCAGGTACTGTTCTTGCTGCCCATACACCGAACCCAAGCAAAGAGAGGGCTGCTTTGGTCTGCTAATCAATTAACACAGTTATGCCGCTGAATTTGGATGAAAGGGTAGCGCCCAGCCTCAGCCACCAGCACCCAGGTCCCACCGGCCAGGAGCCCCGCGGTGGCTCTGCAGTACCTGGCCCCACGGTCCCACTTGCCACGAAGCACACTCTTGCTGCTGGCACGTCTGCACAGACTCTGGCTTCGTTTCGGGATCGCAAAAACGGTCGTTTAATCGATCTTCTCCAAACTGGCACCAGGTCTGGCGGTGTTTATGCCCTTTTCCACAGGTGACCAGGCACTGTGAGGAGTAAAGCGCAAGCTCAGGCAGTGCCGGGGATGAGCTGCCAGCTCAGCACCTCCCCAGCACTGAAAAAAAACCTGGAGACCCGCTGCAAATCACCACTTAAAAACTGGTGCCGAGAGGTGGTTATTTAGCTAATGACCGCGTGCGCTGGAAAACACATGAGCGTCTTGCAACAAGACGGGATTGCTTTCAGGAGCTGGTCCAGAACAGAGCCTGGAGTGGGAGAGCACAGCCAGGCTGGGACCCTTCAGCATGGGCAAAGCAAGACCACAAAGGTTCTTCACTTCCAGCAGCTGTGAGACATGGGGCAAGGCCACAGTGCTGCCTGACAGGGCGTTAGCTGTGCACAGCAGGGTGCTGAAGGCTTGCAGAACAACTTGCTTGGCTCTGAGTGTGTGCAGTAAGGGTCTTGGCTCCCACAGGCTGTAAGCGCCTCTTCCACCACCCCAGCACGGCTCAGGCTGGCAGCAGCTTGACCCAGAAGACAGATATTTTGCAGAAAACAATCCCTGTTCCCATTTAATCACTTTCATTATTTCCTAAAAGAACGTGATTCACAGAAATGAGAGCTATTTGGCCACAAAGGTGACAAACAGCCTTTGAAGACTGTTCTCCAGCATCCCCGGTCCTGCTGCAGGGAACAGGCTGTGAAGATATGGTTTTGTTGCACTGCAAAGGACACCAGCAGCAGTGGAAGAGGTAGTGGTAATAAACAGCAGGGAGAGGGCTGAGCAAGACATTAGTGGGGTGAAATCCTGCCCTCCAGTGACAGCCAGAGCTGCTGGGGCTCGTGAGGACGATCTCAATGGAAAATGAGGGCAGAAAGTATTTTTCTTCCCAAAGCTGCAGAGTAATCGTGGAAAAACTGGGGAGAAATTACTGCAGGACTGGAGAGCCATTAACCCCCTGTGGCTTTGCAGAGAGGAAATCGGCCACTTGACCAGCAGTGACGAGGCCAGTGACTTTGCTGCCTGCTGCCTCAAGCCTCCCTGTGCACAGGCTTGGGGAGACCTTCTGCAGGAGGCAGGGCACCACCGCCCCCAGGGCACGGCACCCGCAGGCTACATCAACAAAATGTGAGGGACAAGCAGGGAGAGGGGTACCTCTCTGCAGGCGCCAGCCCCTCGGGGTGGGGGACCAGCAGGGCGAGCCCACCGTGGTGACCAGCACCTACCTCGGACCAGTCGCCAGTTTTCCACTGGGGGCACAAGAAGTCGCTGCATCGCTGCACCGTCAGCTTCTCCTGCTGACTGCACTTGCTGTCGTCCAGGACATCGTTGTAGGTGTTCACGCACATGGCTCGCCGCCGCCGCGTGCCCCCGCCGCAGCTCTTGGAGCACTGGGAAGGAGAGACACCGAGTAAATACTTTCTGCCACTCTATCACAGGCCGAGAGCCCATTTATTGCCTTCTCCCTCCTTGCAGTCAGGGCTCTGAAGAGACTGCAGAAAACCTCCGGAAGAACAATTTGTACTTTAAGTAACAGGCTGTTACTTTATATATTCCTTTAAAAATCCAATCTTGCTAAGCTTAATAAAATCTCACGGCAATAAATTTCACAAATTCATTTCAGGTTATAACCCCGTTATTACTTTTACAAGTGTTGCCTTTCAGTTCTCCCAAATGGCTGTTGCTTGTTCTCATTTTAGGAGAGATTAATTCTCTCTAACCAGTCAACCCCCTTTCACCATGCTCTCCCTGGAAAGCCCCAGGCTTGTCATTCTCTTGGTGCTAGGTCTGTATTCAGGAATATTCTTGGCCACAGAAATGTATTCTGCTAAAAAGCGTAAAGGAAACAAATTTCAGAAGTCCTCCACTGATGGTAACATGTCCTCCTGGCTCCTGCCAGTGAGGCTGGCTGTGATGGGAGAAGACAGCCAGTGGGGCTCAGCCTAAAGACAACAGACCTTGGGATGCTTAAAAGCGTAAATTCATTGCAGTGGAAAATAAGGAGTACTGGGCTGATCTGGACAACATTGTCCTCCAGAGAAAGCAATGGATGCAGAATCACTGTGGCCAACTTTTATACACTGTATGCAACCTGAAGAGCCTGACAGCCCCATGCAAAGAGGAGACAGCGTCTGCCGTGTTGCTGAGCATCCCTTACCTCGGTCCAAGCCGAGTACCGCCACCCTCCCACGTTACAGTCTCCAGTGCACTTCTCCCTCGTGCTTGGCTTGGGCTGGCTGCTGCAGAAGCGGTCGTCGACCTTCTCTGTCTTCCCCTCCAGCCTGCTGTACTTGGAGCAGTAGATCTCCAGGGTGCGGTACCCCAGCCCGCACTGCGCCGTGCACTCGCTCTTCCTCGCGATGTGCCACCTGAGCCCAGGAAAGCAAACATCAGCCTTGGTGCAGCAAAAAAACCACAACCCCACGTGAAGGCACCTGCCGTGGAGAGGATCAGGAGAGGTGGAAAGGCTCTGGGACTGTGGGGCTCTGGGACTCTGCAGGTAACGTGCTCGGGTGTGTTGGACGTTCACAGGGCATATACGTTCTTGAACTGGATGTTTTGGCTGTTTACTTCCCAAAGCTTTTGGCTTCGAAAAATATGAAGCAATTAAACCTAGGCGTTGCTCCCTGGGCGTAAGGAACTGTCACCTGGTCCCTCTTACAGGCACAGAAAAGCCACACTGCGACCATGTGGGATCATGCAAGGCGTCGGGGGAGTCGGTGGCTGAGCAAGGAGATGCGCTTTGAAGGCTTTCCACCCTGCGTTCCCCTGCAGGAGTGCCACCTTGGCCTCTAAAACGGAAAAGCTGAAAAATACAGCGTCAGAAAATGATCCACACAGGCTTGAAAGGTGTGACAAGGCACTCCACGTGGCAGGATGCCTGCAAAACAGTTTCAGCTCTCCCAAGTGTGAGCAAGTGACTTGCTCCAAGACAGATGAGCCTCAGAGGTGTCAGCGGGGATGAGGGGTGTTCCCTCTGGACAGGCAGACTCCCACCATGGTGCCTCCTTCCTGAGATGGGCAGCAAGAGCTGGTGCTGGTGGCCCTCAAGGACCCACCTGGGGATGCACCCCTGTTTTACAGCAGCCCTGGGAAGAGATGCTGGACACAGGGCCTGATCCAGGGAGGTGTCAGAGACCCTGGAGTCAACAGAAGGCAATTGCCCCCCAAGCCTCGCAGGGGTGGCTCCTGGGGAAGGAGGCAGTGATGTCCCCTGTGGGTCCTGCAGACCCCTGGGCTGCTACGAGTGCCCGTGTGGGGAGCGCAGAGCCCTGCTCCTAAGCCCAGGGAGCAAAAGCCCATCCTAAGCCCAGGGAGCAAAAGCCCATCCTAAGCCCAGGGAGCAAACTTCAGCACAGCTAGGAGAAGAATAAGATCAAGGAGATTTGGAGTCAAACAGCTCCTGAATGGTGGGAGCCCTCACTTCCTGGACTGCTTTTCAAACTCCTGCGTTTGCTCTTCTCGAGTTTCCAACCTGTTGCAATGGCAACAGCTGTTACCGCGACAACCCGACCTACAGCCCCTCTATAGCCCCTATACAGCCTCGGGTTTAACACAGCCTGAGAAAACCCTCGGGAAACACAGCCATCTGAGTTGCTTCACAAGCAGCCATTTAATGCTACCATATTTAAGCCCCAGAAAGGAAAACATTGCTTTTTAAAGGAAAATGGGTTGTAATGATTTAGGCCATGCTCCATCAATTCCAGCTCGCCAGGAGTTGTCTGGGGACAGCCCCAAACCTGCTCCACACTTAAGCCTATTCTTTGCTTTAAGCAAATGATGATAAATCCAAGACTGAGTTACTCCTCTGCTTTGAGCATATGCTTTTCCCTCTTTGCAGGCTGTTTGTAGGATGGCGCTGAGCATTCCTGATCCAGGCAGATAGGAATTTCAGGCACTGAATGGCACAGGGAGATTTTTCAACATTAGGAGAATTTTTTTTTTTTTACAGTTAGTACTAATTTAATCCAACAAGAGAAATGTGAACTCGTAGAAAAGTGTCTCTCAAAACACAGCTGGTGGACGTTGATCCCTCTTGGTTGACAGGGAGGCGATTGCTAATCCTTCTCTTTTCTTAAATCTAATATGGGCTGGTGAGAAAAGGAATTGTGGTGAGAGGTGAAAGGAAAGAGGAGTAAGCAACAAATGTACGACGTAATGTATATACATGGCTGAGTAGAGTGCACCTTAATTCACATTCTGTGCTGCAAGGCTCAGTGATGGGGTCAGGCTGGGGAATTCGATCACATCTTTGGTCCGACACCGTGAGCTGATCCGACTCTCTCGTACACACGGGTTTCCTTTTTCGTTCTCCTACACAGGAAAAAAAGGTGGTGTTTGGGTTGTACAGGAAAGCAATCAAATCAGTTATTTCTCTTACTCCTTTTTTAGTAGCAATTAAGAGATGTTTATTTAACGCTTTTAAATCTCTTTCAGAAACAGGGAGGGGGTTAAGAGTCTGTAAGGAGAGCAGAAGGGGTTAACGCAGAGGAGATGGGCACAGGCAGAGAGCTGCAGCACGCCTGCAGGGACAGGCTCCGCGTGTTCCCCAGGTGGGAATGGCCGGGCGTCAGACCCAAAACCGGACAGAGATACCTTTTGCAGCCTTAGGAAATGCCATGTAACCTTTTCGGTGCTTGAGCTTCCTCCCCCGCAAACCCTCTGGCTCAGAGGGGCCGTAGAGGTGCCCTGCTCCGAAACCGAGAAGCGGCAGAGCAGTGCTACGCCTCCTACGACGTTACCAACTATTAGAGCCCAGGGAAACCATCACGCCCACAACGTGAGAACCTCAAAGAAACCAAACGGAGAGGGACTTGACAGCACTGCCCAGATCTCGGACAAATCCAAGACAAAACTTAAGCCTTCCCAAGCACCCACCTTGGCAGAGCTTACTGCAGGGCTGCCACGGGCCATACGCATTCCAGTAAAACTGCTGAGGTTTGTCCTCAATGGGGATATTAAATGTGTAACGAACGTCGGGATTGTACAAATTGCCCACTGATAAAACCTGAGAGAAAAAGAGATGAAGCAGAATAAACCAACAGACTTCACTGCCCACTGTTTTCAGGCCAATAATGCTGGGCAGACTTTTCCACACGCAGAACATATACTTCACCTGAAGCGTTATTTCTTGCTCAATCCGATCTGTAGAATTAATCCTTTCAATAGTATTATCCGATCCGCTGTATTCGATCACAGCATTCCCAACTTTGATTTCCCTTTTAAACATACTGACGACAAAGTCTCCATTTAATATAAAGTCTCCTTGACTGTTAGATAAGGCTGCATAGGTGCAAAAAACAAGAACTAAAGACGCAGAATTAACTCATACGTACATAATAACGTGGGTCATGCGCTCGCAGTGCTCCTTTTCATTGGGGTGGGAGGGAAAGCCCGCTGGCACTCTCAAATAGAAACGATGTAAAGGGAGCAGCAGAGCTCTTACAGACATCGTGCCTTCTCCTCTTTCCACCAGAGAGCCTCATTAAAGCGAAGGCTGAATGCCTGAAGCCGCTGCTAAATAGCTCACCCATAACCCAGGGCAGAGGGATACCCAAAAGGCATGCCGGGCCAGCTGCCGCAGGCAGAACGCACCATCTGTATCCCCTCATACGCTGCAGAAATAAACCTGCCCAAATCTTTGTGTTAGTCCTGCGGATAGGGTGGCTTCCCTGTTGTTTCCAGGTGCGTTCCTAGGGTAAATGTACATACCCTAATTGCCCAAACGTCATTTCTAGTAGGTAATTACAGGGAGTTTGGTCAGTATCCCCCCCTGCCCCCTTCTCTCCCTTTCCCTCCTCCCTCCGTACTTTTTATTATTCCAAATCTTAAGGTATGTGAAAGCACCGAAGGCTTAAAGCCTAAATGCTTTATAAAAGGAACAGTTTCCTGAAAACAGCAGTCTGCTGCACAACTTCACACTAATGCGATTATGTAGCTAATTTCCTAAGTTAGTTTCCCCACCATTTCACCCATCACAGCTACATTACTACAAAGCCTCTGTACTGAAAAATCTAAACTTAACACCAAAACACCAAAGGGAAGGTTTTTACACCGAATGAGGAGAGATAATGAAGCAAAACACTGCCTGGTAGCAAACAGACATAGATGGAGGAAAACTCACATAACAGACACTATACTCAACCAAATTTCACACTTTGGAGGCTTTAATGTCACTAGGCAGTAATAAAACTCATTAAAGGATTCCTTCCCATTTACTGTATCTCCTACAACAGTAGGTACATGCCTTGGACTTGATGACAACATCAAATTCCTCCTAAATTGTTAAGCAACTACAAGGTTCACAGTACTGAGGGCCCAAGATTTCACACTCAGTGAGCTGCAAAATAAGTGGACACATGCACACTTCTCATTTGCTTCTAGTCAGGCCTAATGTGAAGAGATGCTTTCCCAGCAATATTAAAGCAACATTAAAGAAGATTTGACTTCATTGCTTCCCAAGAAGATTAAGGGCCCTCCAAGAAGAGCTGAGAAGTTCTTTGGGGCTCCTTCTGGGGTGAACCAGTTTGAACAGGCACAAACAGGGAGGATGGTTTTTCTAGAAAACAAGAATAATGGAACATCTCTCCCTCCCCCAGAATGGAAAACCATCACACCTCAGTAAGGTTTTCTTGCTATTGATGTGCATTTGTGCCGCACCATCTCACTTCGTTGCTGTGAACGTGCAGGAACAATGCAAGGTGGCTGTAAGTGATGGGCCACATGCGTGCAGGGACGGACAGCCTTGCACAACCCCAGTCTGGGAATGAGGACGGGGAGGATCCTCTCAGCTTTTTGCCTGAATGAAGGGTCCAACCACATGGATGGCATTTCAGAGCAGCAGCCAATGCTGCCAGCACCATTTACCTTTGGTGCATGATAGCATCGTCTACGTGTTTCTCAAGTGAGTTCCTTTGCCTAGTCCTGTTTTGAACATACCCAATTACAGCGAGCACTTAGGCTAAGCCCCATATTTTGCAAAAACACTCAACAACTCGGGGATTTTGTGAGATGAAACAAGGTGAAGTGCCCTGCTCAGGGATGTAAATGCGGGACCCCGCGCTACCGGAGTGCGGCTGGCGGTGCCAGGCACGGGGCATGCAGGAGAGGAGGAACAGAGCTGGGAGAGCAGCCACCTCCCTGGGACTGCAAGGTGCCACAGCCTCAGTCTCTGCCCCGACAGCAGCCTGAACAGACGCTGAGGGACCAAAACAGGACTTAATGGCCAAGTCAGGCTTCGACTGGTAGCTCTAACATCAGTCGTAATGTGCGCTTGTGTTATCTCCACTATTGAACCCAAACAGAACTCTCTGTGGGGTGAATTACTGATCAGCACGGTGGAAGAGACACCTGTGGCTGTGCTAAAAGCATATGTGCGTGCAGAGACTGGTCTAATGCAGCACCACGAGCATTTTCATCTTCCTCTAGAGACATACCCACAGATTAGAGAAAACAGTGACCATAAATGTCCAACAGCCAAAGGCCAAGTTATCGTTAGGTTTAAATCAAACCAACGTCTTTGGTGCAGGGTATTGTCTTTACAGTTATATATCACTGTCAGGCAGGGATGAGAAGGGCTCAATCTAAGTGAAATCGGAATTACTATTCTCAGAGGAACAGAAAATAATTTCTCTTTGGATTTGTATGTACACATGTGTTTCAGGGCATGGCATATTTACTCTCCAGCCAAGGCATGGTGACAAGCAAAGATGAGTTAGGTTGCAATGAGGAGACTCCAGCAGAACTCAGAAGCCCGTTTGGTTCCCAACTTTGTGCTTTAGCTCCCACCCACAGCCCAGGCTCAATAGCCCTTCCCAGCTCCAGAGATACTCTAAGGGGATATTTCTGATAATCTGTGAACCTCCTAAACTTTGCATCAAGGACGGCATGAACAAAAAGATCCCTCTTTTTGGATCTTGTTCCTAAAAGATAAGGCTGAATGTTTGGTAGGCATATGAGATAAATTCTCAATACAAAAACATCTCCCTTAAATGAATTCTTCATCCTCCCTCGCAGAGAGCAGCCCGGAGATCTATCACCACAACCAGACAATAAAGCAGAGTTCTGGACTGAAACAAGAACTGCAACTCACCCAGGTAGTTGTCATCCTCTGGTTTCCCTGAGTAACTGTGCTGACGCACATCAATATTAGTTGCACCAGCTGGGATGCGGACCACAACGTTATAGCCTAGGAAAGATTTAACAGCAAGTCGAGCCTATTACAGAGACATCTCATTTGCTTTTTACGGGGGGAAGGGAAATGAGCAAAATTACCTCAACATTACACAAGCCGATACTTTTCATTTAGGGAAAGTATAAATAGTGATAAAATGGAATATGCTGTAGCTAGAAGGACTTTGCATTTTACATCAGTGCTTTTGTAGATTAAGTGTGCTAATGGCTTTTATAGACCCGCATTTTTCACTATAAAGTTTTTAGCAACAGATTCTTACCATAATGCACCGTGTTAAATGTGCCTGCAACAGTTTTGCATGAAGAATTATCCCCACCGCAAACACCACATTTATCTCTTCTTGCTTTTGAATTCAGCACGTGATCGCATCCAGCTTGCTTTAAGAGAAAAATTGAAAAAAACCTAGAATGAGCCAATACGGACTAGAACAGCATTTACAAACCTCTCAATTAAGGCATACAAAAGCTTTGTATGCAAAAGGCTGCCGTGAGACAAATTGCTTTGCTTCCCCACACTTTTCTGCTGATTTACAGTATGGCCATCCCACACCATTTTCAAACAAAAGGCTTTTTTACAAAGCGAGAATCAGAATGGCCATTTGCACCAGGCGATGCCTTCGTTAGAAAAAAACTTCTTGCATCAGTTGTTCCCGCAGAGAAAAGTGTGAAAAGTAATTGTGAATGGAAAAGTAAACTGTTCCAGGGTCTGACTGGGAAGAACCGGGGCAGAGCACAGAAGGAAGCGTCGTTTGGATTCAGGCTGAGACCTCCACAGCCCTCAGTTAACTTAGGGCAGACGTACAGATGTACAGACATCCTCCACACGCGGCTCTCCTGCAAATCTGGAGGTTGGTGCAGCTTCAGGCCAGCTGGGGCTTGCGGGGCAAAGAAGGCACGCCAACAACCGGGGGGAGCAAGGTGCACAAGTGCCGTCCTGCCACGCGGGGCTGCAATCACCCTCGCTAAAGAGAAGGGAAAATCCTTACCCGGCAGAGGCCCTGCACGCAGATGTCGTTGGTGTCAGGGCCGCAGGGCGTCCCGTCGATGACGCGGTCCCGCAGCTGGTAATACGCCGTGTTTCCCGCCACTCGGCAGAACAACTTGCACCGATCCTTCATCAGGACTGGAGA